AGTGTTGGTCACTAGATTGATTGGTCCAATGGAACACTATTGGAATGAACAGATGAAAAATAATGGTTCAGTTTCTTCCAGGTGAAAATCTTCAAAATCATTGTCAATTTTGAATAAAAACCTTTAAAAAAGAATGCTCACTTTTGGTAACACACGAACTTTGACATATTCGTCAAATATTTTGACCCAACTCTTTATAAACATTTTTACATGCGCGTTTGTAGTCTTGACAAATTTATTTATATTAAACACAAAAATAAAGATAATTACCCATAAAAATTGGGAAAAAAAAAAATAAAGTAAAAAGAAAATAACCTTAGCCATTTCATTCAAAGATATCCAACTCAGATAAGAACCTTAGGAACAAAATTAATTATGAAAAAATAATAAAATATTATATTGCAATGTCCTGATCTAAAAAAATTCATACTGCTCATTTATGAATGACTCAAGTCAAAAGAGAACCTAATGATTAATAAAAGAATAGTTTTTTAAAAAAAAAATAAAAAAACTTTCGATAACTATAACCTGAAATAATAATACTCAAAATTAAGCTAATAAACTAAAATTTAATTTTTTTAAGATTGAATCAGAAAAGTATTAAAAAAAAAAATAATAATATAATTACAAATAAACCCGAAATTCTGTTAAAAACATAGATGTTTTAAAAGCAGTGCTTCTTTTAAAAAAAATTAAAATTGCTATACTAATAAAGAAATATTTCATTCTATATTGAATTACAGATTTATTATATAGAATAAAATGGATATTTAATTATCATAAATGTAAATTTTGCATAAATATAAAATATTTTTAAGTTTTTCTCAGCAAATATTTTTGGGATAAATATATTCTTTATCAAATGAGTGAATGCTTATTTTTAAATTAAGAGCAAAAAAGTTATTATAATTAAAATAAATTAAATAAACTAAAAATCGAATCTTAGAACTGAAACTCAAGAAATAATTAAATACCCTATTTTGGATTTAAGTATACTGAAATATAAAAACAATAACTTTAGAAATGTAATATAAGAAAAACTATTTAAATTTTATAGTGATTTTAAAGGTTAAATTATTATCAAACTAATTAATATAGCTTTTTATAGTATTTAAAAAATTCTTTTTTTTACATTAATTTCAAAAAATACAATTTTTATTAATAATTTAAATATTAATAAATAGTTTTAAACACTTTTATATTTATCTCATAAGAGTTTAAATATAAATTTTACTATTATATTCATTCAAAATTCTCTACAATAATCTGTTTTCTTAATTGTAATTCAAAAAGTGAGTAATCAAACTTGATTTAGTAGTTTTAAATAATTTAATATAAATTAGTAATTCTTTTACCTGTTGCTATATTAGAAAAAAGTGATTTTCAATCTATTTTTTTAGTTAGTATTATAGATTAACAATTTTTTCAATAATAATAATATTTAATTAATTATTTTTATAATTTATGCCAAATAAATTTGAACAATTTTTAGTTATTGCAAATTATCATTATCATTAAAATAAAAGAGATGATTAATAACTTTTTAAAGATAATTTTATCAGTTTATTCAAATAACTTGGATCTAATCTAAAAATCCTTAAATATATAATTAAATAATAACAGAAATTATTTGTGACTTTTAAGAAATAATGCATTACTTTAAATATTTATGATTAATTTCTGTAATCATTTTGATTTAAAAATATCAAATTTTTGTATTTATTTAAAAATTTTACCTATTTATTAATTTAATATAATAAGTATTAAGATCATAAAAAATTAATACTTAAATTTTGAATTCATATTATAATAATTATAAATAATAATAAGCTATAAAATAAATTTCAAATAAATATACTATTTTATATAGACTAATATATAGATTATTATATGAAAACTAACTTATTAAAAATTATCACATATGTAATATATTATTATTTTAAATATTTACTCAATTTCTGATCTATTTATTGAGAACTAATAACAACTTAGTGAAAACATATTATTATTTTGTAAAAAATGTTATGATAATATTTATTCTCTTAAAATTCTAGATATAAAATTCATTATAAAATATTGTATAAAAATTATAATATTTTAATATATAGTGATCATAAAAGGATGAAATAAAGTTTATTAGATTTGTCATATTATGATGTATCTAATAATAGTATTTTTAAATTTTTAAAACAAGAAATCATACTTCTATCGGAAATTCGACTGAGTATCTCCCCCTCCTGGAAATAATGAATTATTCCATGGTTGCTTGCTTCTTTTCTTAACCTTTCGGAAAAATTAACCTCAACAATACTCCATAATAATTTCTTATTGAGTAATGTCTCAAAGGTTTTGTCTGAGGAAGCATTTACGTTAGTAGTGAACTCATCCATTCTTTCAAGCAACCTCCTCGTTATTTGTTTCTAAAAATAATAATAGTCTAATTAATAAAGAGCTCGGCCAACATTAAAAAATAAATACTTACTTGGTTACATGATGTTTACTTTCACATAAGTAAACATTTAGGTCGGTATACATGATATCGTCCCATTCCATCAAATGCTTTCCATCCTTTGTAATAATGCGATTCGGGAATATTTTTAGGTTACTTTCATTTTCCGCTAAGGTCTTCCTTATTGCGAATATTATTTCTTGGGTGCAAAAGGATTAACTTTAATAGAAAATCATAATTACGAATATTGCTCGTTTATTCATCAATTCAAAAACCTGGTCAACAATCAAAAATATCGAATTGATCCCGCTCATCTTGACAAAATAAAGTATAGGAAACATGGACACAAATCGAAGACCAAGGTATGGAAGATGAGTCTTAATAAAACTTTAAAAGATTTATCGCTATCTACGTTAACCTTATCGAAAGTTGGTAACAAAAGTCCCTCTTTATCATATTTCTGAATATATATACATTTTTTGATGTATTTTCTTCTCAATTCATTTATATAAGGTATAGCAGCCGCTGGAATTTCAAATCCTTCATATCTTTTTTAGTTATTTTTGACAGTGTTGACACTGTTAAATAGTTTTCTGTGATAGTTTCCGCCGCTGCATTTTCAAGTACTCATGTCTCGAATTTCTTTGCTGTTATTATATGAAGAATAATATTTACAAATTCCAAGGGAACTGAAAAAATAATAAATAAAACGGTAGTGATTTGTTGAAGTGCCTTAAAAGAGAACTTGAATTCTTAATATTGCGAGTAGTGGAAGAGTTCATACTTAGGCTTATTTAGGTTGGTTCTTTTTTTGCAATGATGAAATAATTCTTGATTGAAAATTACATAATTCAGGGATTCTCGCGATGAGACCAGATGCCGAAGGAAGATCATACTTGGGATTATCTATGTTGATTCTTTTTTGCAATGTTGAAATAATACTTGATTGAAAAGTACATAATTCAGAGTGAGGAATCTCGCGATGCGACCAGATACCGAAAGGAGGAAGAGATCATACTTGGGCTTATCTAGATTGATATTTTTTTTGCAAAGCTGAAATAATCCAGGGTGAGGAAATCTCGCGATAAGTCCCGATGCCGATGGGAGGTAGAGATTATACTTGGACTTATCTATATTGATTTTTTTTTTGCAAGGCTGAAACAGTTCTTGATTGAGATGTACATAATTCAGGGTCATTTATTCTCGCGACGAGACCAGGTGCCGAATTGCGTGAGAGGTCATATTTGTTTTTATCTATAAAGTTGAAATAGTTCTTGATGGAAATGTATATAATTTAGGGTGAGGATATCTTGCAATGATTCCCGATGCTGAAGGGAGTTAGAGATTATACTTGGGATTATAAATGTTGGTTCTTTTTTGCAAAGTTGAAATATTTCTTGATTGAAAGGCACATAATTTAGGATGAGGAAATCTCGCGTTGAGATCAGATGCCGAAGGGATTAATAGATCATACTTAAGCTTATCTATGTTCGTTATTTTATATGACACTGGATGAATATCTCTTGGATAAAAAGTGCGAAATGCAATGGGACTAGATGCTGCCGAAAAGGAGAGTTCATACGTAGGCTTGACTATGCCGGTCCTTTTTTGTATCGTCTGAGTAAAAACATTAGGTGGATTTGTTCATAATGCAAGGTGAGTGTTAGAAAACCTCGTAATGAAACCGGTTAAAGATGACATTTATGAAGAAACCAAAAACGCCTTTTCAGATTATCGAATTACTTATATTATAATTTTTTCGCAAATTTTTATTTAGTATATTTTATTATTGTATTATAGTTTCGCTTAGGCCAAGCTTTCTGAATTATTTTAAAAAAATTATATTATTGTTTCGATTCTGATAGAAATCAAATTTTTTTAATGATCATCGAAACAATTGTTAGCAGCAATTAGTTATTCATTGATAATAATGGAATTCAATAAGATATCATCAACCTCTTATATTATGAAATTGGTAAAATAATTTGCATAACTTGGCTGTAACCTCAATTCAATCATTTATTTCTATTATTTAAGTCTTCGTCAAAAATTGATATGCTGCTACTTTGTCCGGAAATTGAATATCAATTATTGAACTTTATTCCAGTTAAAATACTGTTTTCTTTTCAATTTTTCAATTTTAGAGATAAAACACCCTTCAAACAAAAACCTTCATTTATTTGCCATTTTAAAAAATGTTGATCATTTTGCACTTGGATTTGAATGCTTTAAGCCGTTCTCAAGCACCTCCCTCAATGTGATTGGATAGTGATGGCATTATGTTCAAGTACTACAATCAATATAGAATTACAGGAAACAAAATAGTTATAAAAATTCAAGATTACATAAAAAGGAATAGGAACGCTCGAGCATAATCTATCATTGAAGAAAAAGGAGGTTTACAGCTCATTGATTTTTTCATCGAAAATGGTAGCTCAATGAATTTTTTCGGCCAATCAAATTGCTTATCAATCTATCAATTGAGGCGCTCGAGAACGGCCTTAATAACAAATATTTTAATGAGAAAAAAAAAACGATAATTATATAAAAATTATTGCACAAATAAATTGATAAAAGAAAAATATGCCGTTTCCAAGAACTGAACATAGGGATGAAGGCGGCTTTCGCGATGCGTGCTTGGTTTGAAAAAGGTCCACCAGCGTACTGGTAAAAAAACAAGGTACATGAGCGACTGAGAAGGAGGGCAATCGTCGTAACAAGAACTTAATACGCCTTCGGCGATAACTGATCCTGCCCTAGTGTAAAAACTAATATATTCATCGTGCCATTCCTAGAATTAAAAATAATGAGAACGTTATCTATCGGAACTTTTCAGAAAATTAAAATAGTTTGAAAATCGTGAAAATCATGTCTTGATCTAACTCACATTCGTTATATCATCCACAATGACCGGAACAAGTTTATTATTACCATCAGATACTAAAATCTTGGTTTTTCCTGGATGTAAATCTTTGGCAAACATGATGGATAAATTTTCAATGAAGACATAATGAGAATGAGTGGTTGTGAGCCGTAATTGATCTAAAAGCGAATAATTAAGTTATTTTAGAGCGTTTATTTATTCAGACTTATAATTAATTTAGAATAATACCTTTATAGCCGTTTGGTTTGGTGAAGCTTATCTTGGTAAATTTTTCTTCATAATCGAGTTTACCAATGTGAGCGATAAGGTAAACATCTGAAAACTCTTCAATACCATTTCTGATGTTTGACAACACTCGATCTCCTACTTGAAGTTCTGACATTCGAATGATTCTTCCTGTTTCAAGCTTAACTCTAGTTTCAAGCCAGAAACAACCTCCACTACTTGAACTTTGTATCATCAAGTTTTTTTTGAAGTTCTGACAATTTATTCTCAAGTATTTTAAGCTGTTTTTCATTTTCAATACGTACAATTTCATCATCTTCTGCCTTCTTTTTTGAGTATTCTGCTTCTGCTATTGCTTTACCTTCTTTTCTTTTAATCTCATCATATTCTCTCTGCCTCTTTTCTTGTTTCTCCCTTGCAATCCGCGCAAGTTCTTCTTGCTTCTTTCGTGTCTCTTCGAGCAATTCATTTGTATATATTCCATTTAGGTTATAAATAATATTTTCTAAATTTTTTAAACATTCTTTATGTATTTGTTGACCAGGGGGAAAGATGTCTGAATTCGGAGAAATGGCCCACCGATTACCCATACGATTGACGAGCATGCGAACCTTATCATTCCAAGACATTTCAAAATTTTTAGTGTTTGTTGTTTCTTTCTTGTCACAAAACGAGAAGACAGTAATCATGTATAGAAAGGCCTTTTCTCCGAAAAACGTAATTATACCATTGATCACGTTTATTTGCTCATCCGTTAACCTTTTAGCTTCTGTAAACAGAACAGTACAGTTAATCCCAGATTTAACATAATTTGATTTTTAATAACTCCTACAAACCAAGAACAAATAATATGGCCTTGATCCCATGAGCACATTTTTGTACGGTGCGCGCGATTTCTGTCATGATTTCTTCATTTGGCCTGTCGGTATCAAAAACCCCAGGTGTGTCGATGATGTTATATTCTTTGTTACCAATTTTGTAAACCGCGTAACTAGATTGGTTAGTGCACGATTCCTAACATATTAGGATGTTGGATTAATTAAGTTATACTACGTTTAATATATTAAGTTAATATCGACATATTAAAAGCTTACAAATTTATTTTCGGAGACCTCAAAGACGAAAGTTTTATCTTCTGAGATTCTTAACAAATGATTTCCCAACGTACTCTTGCCGGCACCTAAGTAATAAATAATATTGAATGTTTCCAAATAGCCAAAATGAAGAAAAGGCACAATATCAGTGCATACCTGTTTTTCCAACTAAGAGTATAACTGGCGAATTGATCTCCGTCGTTAGCGGTCTTTCTTTATCCGACGGTGATTTCCTTATTGAGTAAAAATTTAGTGAAAAAATTTCATGAAAGCACAGGTAACATTAAGATTTGAACTGAGACTTACCAGAGCCACTTGAGCATTTTCCTTAAATTCAATCTAAATATAACGTAGTTTTGGAGATCCAATGCAAATTTAGTATTAAATTATAAAAGGATCGATTTATCGCAGTTCTTTTTTTTTTTTTTAAACAAAAAAGAGAAAAAGAAAAAAAAAGGGAATATTAGGTGATCTCGTTCTTTTGACCTTATTTAGTATATCCAACAAAATGAAACAATCACGATTTTTTTTTACTTTAACCGGTCAATATCCGGTTAATATCCGGTTAAAATATTTGTTAACCGGTCAATTAACCGGCTAAAATTAACTTAGGCCAGTACTATAAATTTGTCCAGAGTTAGAAAAGATTTTGCCCGGTTAATCTTTAACCGGTTAAAATTAACCGGTTCTAACCTTTATTGATAATATTTTTGTTGTTTAAATGATAATATTGAAGTCACTATGACGCAATGTTATTTATTAAAAATTTAAATTAATCAAGATCAAAAACTGTTCTGACCTGTTGACCTGAAATACAGGTCGGGTCAGTAGAATCGTTCTAACTGAACGATAACGAATCATTCAAAAAACTAAAACGATGATAAATCGTTCTAGTTAAACGAAGAACGACAACGAATCGTTCTAATTGAACGATAATGTATCGTCCAACTGGAACGAAGATAAATCGTTCAAGAACGATGATATATGTTCTAGTTGAACAATGGTGAGTCGTTCAAGAAAAATGTATTTTAGTTTTTGATGTGATGTTATTAGATCGAAATGTAATAAGGTTTTAATTTTAGTCAAAAAAATTCTCCAGAGCCTTATTTTCCTAGCAAACTTCCCATATGTCGTTCTTTTTGAATGATTCGTTATCGTTCAATAGAACGATTCTACTGACTGACCTGGATTTTTCAGGTCGGGTCAGATCAGGTAACAGGTCGACCTGACCTGATTCGGAGCTCTTGTTATCATGGTCTGCAAAGATTAAATTGGCTAAAATTTTTGTTTTTTTTCGGTGGAATTATATCAAAAATAGCCAATATGCTTAAAATATATTGAAGAGGACAGGTTAATTTGGATATTTCTCTAAGTTTTAGAAAAAATTATAATTCATAAATGGGTTTCGAAGTGTAGACCGTCGACGTTTAAATAAATTTTACGTAAATATTGTTAATAAATAAAACTGGTACCGATATAGCAATTTAAAACTAGATTGTAATACTAATCCTTTGAACATATTGCTGCTATTCTTAAGCTTGGTTATTTTATATTAAATTAATAAAATTTTAATACTTTTTTTATTAGCAATTTCTAAAGAAAAATGGTATCATGATCGGGCACTAGGTGAAAAATGGATTAGGGGAATGTTCATGAAATTTGCATTGCATGTGGTATTTACATATCTGGAAGAAATATTTCTCATCATTCAGGAAGAGATACAGCAATTCAATCAATATTTGACGCTGGAAATGAAGAAGTTGAAGCAATGGCAATTTCTGGTCATAATTCATCAAAGTGACGAAAGAAAAAAAGAAGAAAATTCTTAATTCAGTTATGCAACGAATAACTGAATAAATACCCAATTCTAACTTAAAATCTGATGAATAAAGGATGATGAGACGCTGAATGATGAAATTACAACTTCTGGTTTCAACTAGGCTTCAGAATTATTAAAAAAATAAGAAAAACAAGCGGCCATTGCAAGAATCTTCTAACGAAAATTTTAATGATGAAATCAACGATAACCGTGTTTCATACTCACTGAAAAAAGTGATATCTATCAATCTTGTTAAACTGATCGAGACCAAGGACGAAACTCCTTGAGTGACAAAAATACTTCTGCTGAGTAATAATGCCGAGATTATATGATAATTGCAAGAAGAAATCCAAACATTAGATCTTTACTACTAATAATCTTGTATGAAAATCGAAACCTTGGAAAACGAAGGAACAGTTTCCCAAAAGCTTTGAAAAGATTTTCATCAAGAACATCAGAATCGAGATACATATTAGAATTCGTGATGAACCAAATGTATACTCGCATGCTGCAAATCCAAATTTATCTTTGCATATACGAAATGTGAAATATATCATGTAATATTCAATTTCTGTAGTAATAATCGTAATCATTAAATATATATACACAGTGGTTTTACCAGTAATTTCAAATATATTGTGAACGAAACTGAATAAAGTAAAGAAGAAAATAGTAATTGATGACACAAAAAGAAAACAGTTGAATACATTTCGGGTCATTAGGTCATAATTTTCAATGATATTTAAGGTGGGACATAATAAAATACTAAAAGCAATGATCAAATCATCCAGAAAATCCAATAAATGTGTGTGTTTTTTTGTTTTCTTTTCTTCGCATTCATCATCGAAAATATAACTAAAGGTACAAGTGCGGTAACCAGAAAAGTGTAAAAATCGTTAAACGGTTTATAATCATTATCTTGTGCATAAACTGCTTGAATGATTATTATAAATGACAAGTAAATTTTCATTTTATCAAGGGTAGTAACGGGAAGAAAATTTCTCAACAAACATGCAGGGGACATCATTATATATGTCGATCAATTTATGTAAACAAATCAATCAATCAACTATAAAAATTGTACGAACTTGAAGCGGTCATAGTGATCATTGCTTACCGCTTTTTAGAAAGTGTTATAATCCAAAATATTAACCATAAAGCGAACGCGAAAAATTACAATTTTATAACTTTGTTCTATATTATTAAAATGTCAAGTTAATATTTTAAAGTTATGTTTTTTTGTCAAGAATATTTATTGATTGGAACTGTTGTATCGGTCCGGTCCAAAAAGACCGGTCTTTCATCTTTCTTTGGACCGGACCGGTCCTAAAACCGGTCTTGTACCATTCGGTCCTACCAGTCCGGTCCGGTCCAAGATTTGTTTTCTTCTCGAACCAGATCGATTTATAAGACTGGTCCAAGGATCGGTATAAAATGATCAATTTAATAAAATAATTGTATAATTTATTAAATAAAAAAGTATAATAATAAAATAATTGCATACGAAACGATTATTGCGCCTCCTTAATCTCGTTACTTCTCTTTTTTCTTTCGGACATTATCGTTACAGTAAAATATTAGGACAGGTCCAAGGACTGACTTATGGACCGGACCGTTCCATAAGAGAGATGAAAACCGGGTCGATCCAACTCTTATTTTGTAATATTTATAAATAAAATTAATAAAGGACCGGCCTAAGACTGAATATTCTATTATTAAATTATTCAAAGAAATTTGTGATAAGAAACTAATAAAAGTTGTCGTGCCGTGAAATATTAAGATGCTAAAATGCTAAAGATGCTAACAAAAAAAAGTTCAAACGGTGTAATTGATGATATATATAAAATCATCTGATAAAAATACTACAATAAATATCCCGAATTTGTTATAGCAGCATTATACAATAAAAGATTGTGTAATGTATAAATAGGAACCTTCAATAAAAAGGGAAACTGTCGGGAAATAAAAAAATGTGAACATGTCTCAACCTGAAAATCATATTTGGCATATAAAATAAAATTGATTTTTTTCCGGCAGTTTCCACTTTTGGTTGCAAAGATCCCATGAAGAAATTGATTAGTCCGATTACAAGGAACGAAATTTCTTCATATATAAAATATCAGCATGTGAAAATAAAAAAGAAAAAATAATCTGAAAATGAATGATTTAGATTATTAAGATGGGTTCTTAGCTTCAATTCAAAAATTTCATAATAATTTATATGCAATCATTGTTCAAAAACTAAATGTTTCTTAATACAACAATTACTTTGTTTAAGTTTCGTACTAACATTAGAAAACTTAATATATAAACGTAAACAGACGTCGAATTAATAAAATTCCCTAAGGATGTAAGCTAACAATAAATCATATAAATACTTCACGAATCACAAAAAAAAAACATTATCAATACTTTTCCGGATGGCTTTCACACTGGTCGCCAACACACAAGAAAACTTTAATTATCCCATCTTCTTTCTTATCAAAGATTTTATAAAATTTCCCGGCATCTTCCAATTTCCCGTGATGAGTAAATAAATTCATGTCCACTTTATTGGATTTCATGATTGTTAAAAGTTGAACCCAATATTTTTGCATTGGCGCTGGACCTCCTCGCAAAGTGAGTGATTTTTCCTAAACGTAAATTACAAAGAAACATCATTATCATTTAGAAATTAATTGCCGAAATTCATTAAAGAATCTTTCTTACCATAACTGCACCAATCGGAAAATGGTTGGCCATCCCAACAAATAATCCAATGATAGAAATTCTTCCACCTGTAACAATACAGAGAAAGTTAGCAATTATTAACCTTTTCGTTAAAAAAAGACACCGTTCGAGCTTACCTTTTTTAACACAACGAATTGCTTCATCCAACGTGTCAATACTATCAGTCTCAAGGAGTGTATTTTCCACCTGTTGTCTAAAAGTATTTGTACAACGAAATCCTGCACACTCGATTGCAACGTCCAGTCCACCGGGAACAAATTCCTTCATTTTATTTACTATATCTTTATGCACTTTGAAATTAATTGTTTCGGCTCCAATGTCGTGAGCCTTTGCTAAACGTTCCGGAATACAGTCGATCGCTACAAGAACGAAGGAATATAAGAATACATAAATAAAAAGTCTCTTTCGAGAAAGGAAATTTAATAATTCATGTCAAGATACCGATTATACGCGACGCGCCACGATATTTCGCCCATGAGATTGCGCTTAAACCAACTGGTCCGCATCCTATTTTAACAAATGAAGATTGATTAGCAAGTAAAATATTTTTTATAAACTAGTATATGGCTTTTTCCTTACCCCAAATTCCAACAATATCACCTAGATGGAAAAAGAAAGTTTTACAAGATTAAATAATTGATATAAAAAGAGACGCTGAGTAAAAATCATATCGTTCTTTTTTTTATTTTTCAATACCTTTAGACACTTCGCTTAACTCGTTAGCATGCCAACCAGTACAAGCAACATCCGATAATAAGATCAATTTCTCCTATAAAATACCAAATAACCATTTTTTTTAATTTAATTTTATGTATAATAATAATGTATATTTATTATTTTATTTGTTTTACCCCTAAAGCACGATAATCTTCTTCCGAAACTTGAAGAAGATTAATATCAGCATAAGGAACCCGAACGTATTCAGCTTGTATTCCTGTAACAATGCAACAAAGCGTCATGATGATCATATTACAAATTAAAAAGACTCGAACGATTATAAAAATTTCGTTACCATCATATCCACCAGCCAAATGGGTATATCCGAACGTTCCAGAGGTACGATGACCTGAAATCCATTAAAATTCATTAGTTCTTTGACAAAACTGGAAAGAGAAAGACTTTGATATTACCGTATAATTCTTCAATTTCTTTACTTGGATTGGTGACGTCGCAAGAGCTAAACATTTTCTTTTGACAATATTCACAATGTCCACACGCAATTATTGCGGAAATGACAACGCGGTTATTTGGTTTAATATTTGCGACCTTTTCACCAACCTAATCATCAATTAAATGTGTCAAAAAGTATTTCTCTTTTTTTATATTATTTGTAAAGAATATATACAAGAAATAAAGTGTCATTATATACTTCAACAACGACGCCCATTCCTTCATGACCCACGACATCTGCTTTCTCCATCCCAGAGATTTCATTTTTATACAAATGTAAATCGGATCCACATATAGTAGTTCCAGTTATACGAACAATGGCATCGGTTGGTTGCTAATAAATGATTAAAGAATCGGTCAATCTCGGGCAATTTTCGATCGTCCCAAAGGATTTATTTATATTCTACTTACAATAAGGACAGGTCTTTTACGTTTTGTATTGATGCGTATGTCAGTATTACCATGCCACTCAACGGCAATCATGGTATCATTTAAATTTTTCGCAGGTTCAGTAATAATCGTAGCAGGATTTGAATTCATTTTTCAAAAAAAATTTGAGAAAAAAAAATTCAAGAGGGTCGCTTTATATAGGAATACGAAATATACGAAATTGTATGGTGGCATTAAAATTAATCACAAGCAAAAAAAAATTATCGTATATATTTCTAATCTATCCATCAATTTGACATTTAATTCGTGGCATTTATTTTTTCGATAGTATTTAATTGGATGTCCAACCATTCCATTTTCGGCTGAACTAAGCTTATTATCTTGTTGTAGACGTCATTCCTCTTATTACGCAGCAAGGTTGAAGTTTGGTTCTCCTATGAAATGTCTCCCCATGTCATAGGTTTATTATCATTTGTATGCAAACTTTATTTCATTCATATGAGCCTTCGCCCACGATGTTTCTCATTTCAATATGTAGATCTGTAAGCATTTGTTTATTCGTACAGAAGATTTGTTACCCTTTCTTTTCATATGTTCCCATATGTTAACATTTGAAAAGAAATACCAAAATCATAATTGTAAGATGACGAATTGAATGGTAATATTTTTGATGCAAATTTTTCGGATATGTTTTGTGTAACCTTCGAAGATCGATAACAGAATTTGTTTCTTAAGCTTTTTAATATTGTACAAAGGGAATTACTTGTTATCCTATATATTTCTTTGCTAAATGATTACCATTGAGCCAATAATGTTTAATTATTAGTCTTTGGGCTTCAAATGTTGTGTTAATCATTTTGCAAAGGTTGTAAAAAAAAGGTCAAACAAATTTGCTCGTGATTAATCCGAAGTTATGATGTAATTATGATCATTTCTTTATTTAGAAATTCCGTCTCTTGGATGTAAAAATAATTGTCAGTTATGTCGAGATTTCCTTCATGATTAAGACCATATCTAAATTATGTAAAACTATTATGCATTATAAACCTTATATTATGATTCACACACGTGTGTAACAATTTTATTACAATTGAACGCTAACATTTTCGAGTGGGTTTTATAATGTTGCGGGGTAGATTTTCAATCATAATGTGTCTGGCAAAATATATGAAAATCACGTTATCTTTTTATGCTATGCAAATAAATCATCTTTGATTAATACTTACTTCAATTCGAAAACACTGGAATTTTATTTTAATTCAAATACAATATTTAGGTTCATATTTTATTAAAAAAAAATTTTTTTAAAACAGATCAGATTTCGTGTTACAGCGTGTTTCAATTATCAATTATTGAATTCCGCTGTAAATCCATTTTGCAAATAAATCAAATAAAAATTAGATTTCTGTTATTCACATTGATATAAAAAAATGTGTTCGAAAAAACTTTGCTGCGATGATATTATAACCCAAATGCGTTAATGTCTGAAATGCGCATTTCGGAGATCAACTCATTTGGGCTACAACATCACCATTGTCAAATTTGACATCATATTTTTAATACAAATACTTCACCCTTCTCTATAATATCGCACTCGTTTATCATTCGCAAAAAATGATTATTTCTGGTTTTTTGTTAGATTTATAAATGGAAAGCCACTAAGTGAATGTAGTGAACCTATAGATAAAAAATTTGCATATGTTACAAATGAAAGAATTCTCGTAATCATTACATTTTATAGTTTTCATTTTTTTAATAGAAAAATTCTTACTATGTTTTCTTTTTTAATTTCATGAAAAGTCGAACAAAATGTATCAACCAAGAATTGATCACTAAAATCAATATATAAACAGATCACTATGGAAACTTATGTACTGTACTTTACAAATAAAACTGGGCAAAAGATCAAAAGGTTCGTATAAAATTACTTAGCATCCTTCTGTTGATAAAACATATCATGACTTGTAAACAAATAAATCCTAATGCATTTTGTACACTGACAGTTGTACTCTAAGAGCGCAATATCACGTCCTTTAGCTTCCTGAATTTTTCATAATCTCTTATTTCTCGGCTTCCAGTATCTTTAATTTCTCATCTATTATATTTGTTTTTCAGCCTTCTCCCATTTCATTAATGAGTTTTCATTATCCTCACTATTGCGTTTAATTTCACGAATTCGTTAATTTTTTTCCAATTTCTAAGCTTAAACCCCAAATTTGCGTTAATTCGTTAATTCCTCGGTTTCCAAGTTTTATGACTAATGTTGCTGTTCTGAATTTTTTGTGTTTTCTGAAAGCCCAAACATTTTCTTCCACTAGTTCGTTTATTAAATTTTAAGTTACTGAACGCGGAACAGAATTAGATACTTTAGTTCTTTTGCTTTTTTCGAATGACAAATAATTCCTGGCTTTCGTACTCTTTGTCATTCTTGGTATGTAATAGACGTTTTGAATTGACAGAGCTAATTAAACAGATTAATAATATACAAATGTACATACCCGATCTCTCCTCCAGAATACATAGACCTTATTTAAAGCAGATTAGTGTATCTTTATGGCTTGGAATAATACATGTAACATTGTTTTATACATGACTTTTCACACTTGCTTTCAGAGGAAACTATTAAAGCAACATATGCTTATTTGAATTTATTTACTAAATCTCTTTTTCAATTTTAGTGATTATTATTTTATATTATATTTACAAATAAA